CACAAAAAAGTGTGCCAAACAAAAGATATGTTTTCATGATGTGAGTGTTCAATTCTGGCTTGTGCTATGCATTTTTGTGCATTCTGCTTATGTGAAGAAGTCAACTTGTACAATGTATGCAGTAGTATATAGCTAGGTCATGTAGTAAGGTGATTCCTGCACAGTAGTTAGAGAAGATTATAAATATTTAGTTCATGAAAAATGATATTAGAATGATTAGACAGAATTATCTAGTAGTCAGCTCTAAATATATATAATTAGCATGGGGGGGGGGGGATTTTCTAATGCCGAGCCCTATGTAGATGGTTAGTACATTGTATGAGGTCGCGCATGCTGATCTGAGTCGTAGCAATAGCATCGGACGTACACGGCCATCTTAGACAAAGTATACATAGCAGTCTAATCGATATATTTTCTGTGACTGCGATCGGACAACCGTTCAACTCATACGAGCTTAGACCCCTTCCTACGAATCGTCAAGTGCCTTCCTATCGATGCAACGAACGCCCCAGCTATGATGACAACCTACCATCGTTGAATATTAACAAAATCCACAAAGACAGTAGAGGTGTACAATGACATACTCCACTGAAAACTATTGGTCTGAACCATCGGTATCCTGCATCGTAGAGTGCTCCGACAATTGGGGTGCCCGTAAGTAGCGCAAAAGAGCTGACAAAATACATGAGGCCCAGCCGCAAGCTGTGTCAGCGAGAAATTAGCCCACAGAAAAAAATGACAATTTAACGAACAAATACCCAATCTCATGTACGCCTTTCGACAGACTAGCAGCAGTTGGAGGAAAGACAGCGATAGCTGAAGCCATTGTTATATGACGTATCAAACAAGAAGGACAAAGAAGACACACCTGCCCCGGAGAAAAATCCATACAGGATGGAGAAAACGATCACGGCCCCAACGTTACCTGCACCAAACATTGCAAACACCAGTGCACTCGTAATCAATGAGACGGGTATTAATACATTGAACGGGCCTAGCCGGTCAGCCAGCATATTAGGTATCACTCTCCCCGGCAATGATGATGCATTCAGGATGGCAATCTAGTCACATTAGCAACTGCATGCACAAACTACAAAACCTTTTTACCGTATAAAATGCAAGATTGTTAGACAAACCATGGAGGTTAACCCAGAGCTGCAGGTAGAAGTCTGAAGGGGTGTATCACGACGTCGTGGGAGTTTAGGCAAGCTGGAAACATACATGGATAGAACATTCCCCAGAGGACGAGGAAGGCCCTGTATATAGTCAAGTATTAGCCTCGAGGAACCTCATAAACCAATTTCAATAACTCACGTCACCAATACTAATACATATGGCATGTCGCTGAGGATTGCCTTGATATCCGGCTTTGGTCCAGGAGGCCGGTTCTTTGCGCTCGGTAGTCGCGTTGTAATAGTACAGTTGGCGATGATAAGTAGTCCCAATGTTAAGAAAGCAGTGGCCCGTACCCCCCATGCAAAACCAACTTTGCTGTATATAAGTCGGTTTAACATGATTGGATAGATGAGGCCACCGACTCCGGAACCTATAATTCTATCGGACTCCAGTGCACGATTACTATAAGGGAAAGCTTGCAGACCTGTCATGACGATTCCCATTGCAAGCGAACGCCTTTTCCTCCAGTGATGCGCTTGAGCAGACATTGTCGGAACTAGCAGTAGGCCGCTTCCTAATCCCATTCCGACTCCCTGAGATAGGACGAGCTGATAGTAGCGGCGAGGATCAGCCAGTGACAACATGAATATCCTACATTACTTCAAGTAAGGCCTCATCGTGTTGCAGATTGTCCGTCTACTACTCACGAAAACACGTATAGAAAACTGCCAATGACGGAGGTATGATGGAAATACCCAGCATCGAATAGCCTCCCTGCAGGAAGGCCCATTGCAAACATGAGGAATAGCTATAGAATGCTCAGTAAGATCTTGAAAAGCAAGCACGAAATACAAGACGCACTTGAAGTGAGCCTATCCAACTGACATTCGAGGCAGTTGACGCTCCTTTCAAAACATAATAGTCTTGAAATACTCCAAACGAGTTGGAATACCCGAAGGTCGACACGAGAACACAAAAACTGCTCGAAATTTTATCTCTGCAATATATATCAAACCGCATGCACACTCACCCTCCTAGGACACTTAGCCATGCTCGAAGGCCACCATCTGGTATAGTTATAGCTTGAGGTACGGGTGCTATCGGCTCGTTCAGTAGTGACGGCGCGTCAGCACTGGGGCTCCGTATTTCTTTGGCGTCCCCCACTTGAGACATGACGGAAAACCGCCGTGTGTAAGATAGGACAAGAAGTGAGTGGTTGCCCCTTTCAAAGGGTACATTCAAGGAAATATTAATAAAGGGGCATAAACATCAGAACCACGTCGAGCTAGTGGCTTGGGAAAATTATGACTTCTGTAAAAAAAAACATCAATATCATTACATGCAGAAATGAGAAGACATGCCGGAATTATGGAATGGATGCGGGTGGAAGAAGTCTCTATGACAGATGTCAAACCACTAGAAGTCCCACAGGAAGGGTTCTTGGTGACGTACCGCACAAGAGGACCACTTTCGGAACTGCCTCGGAGAAGAGCACATCAGGATCAGGGTGACGGAAATGTGTGTGGAGTCTATATAGAAAGATATGGCCTGATATATCAGATGTGGACTGTATTCGTAAACACCAATGTTCACAAACCATGGCTCAGAGGCTCTATGTATAGAATCCCCGAAGAAAGTGAGAGCGGGGCCGTAAGTTACGAATGCATCATAATACTGCGAAATGTTGAAGCTCCAACTCTGAGCCTCATTAACGTCTAGCAGATTATAGATAGGACTGCCAGTGCGGTCTCGGCGGTCCAACCTCATATGGTTACATAGTAACGCAGGCTAATGATAGCGCTACCCAGCCCGATCATAGTAACCTTGTAACATTCGGACGCCGCGCGGCGGTAGTATCCTGCGGCTCCTTCACATCTCTGAACCCCGACTGGGTGATATATCAGCTGCTATCGCCTCATTTCTGATACGGTGCGCCAAAAGTGCGTATCTCGGGCGGAGAATGACCGCTCAGCCCCAGTGGAAAGTGACATTAATTAAATCGAGAAACTGGGTCACTCAATGAATTACGTTGAACACGCGTGAAGAAAGCTGAATTATGTAATCCGCACCAATTCGGTTTATCTCAGTTTTTCTCATTGAATGACACAGTTTCTCGGTTTGATTCTTGTCAATTCTCACTAGGGCTCAGCCCTCAAACCTTGTACCACATTTCGCTTAATATGCTCCACAGTAACTTGGTGAGAGCCAGAAAAGAGCTTTCGATGCCGACAGCGAAGTCGCCGATCAGCCATATACAAACTCCATGGAACACCTGTACCGCCAGCAAGCAACTTAATAACTGCATCGCCCATCTTGTGTCGACCAAGGTCAAAGCGCTTTAGATGTCGGATTGGATTTGAAACGTCCTACTTGCAGTATTCGGACAGATATATGTATATAGATGATTCAGTACACACATATTCAGGCTGTATTACAAGGTAAATACATTTCTCGGTAAAGTTCACGCCCATGCACAAAAACGTGTGCGTAACGTTAGTTCGCGGCACGAGCAATTAAGGTGACAGGGAGAGGACCCCGGTGCGTAACGAATAGGTCTTGCAGGTGCTTCTCATACGACGCAGGATCGTATCCGTTTGCGAAACGCAGCTCAAAGGCATGAAGGATATAAGCGATGACCATGCGCATCTCTATCAGCGCAAGAGGCCGTCCAACGCAGTTCGCGGGTCCCATCGAGAACGGAATGAAAGCGCTGGGGTCAAAAGTATTGTCCTCGCCGTTCTTGGACAGCCAACGTTCTGGAAAAAAATCTTCAGGGCGGGAGAAATACCGCGGGTCATGATGATACACGTATGGTGGGGCGTATATAGCGGTTCCCTCCGGGATGAACATGCTACACAAAATCATAATGAGTGTGATGTGACCGTTATTATCATTGGGATGCTCAACATACGTGGAGCCCAACATATGCCCACCGGTGCCCATTTGAGGCGCGCGCTGGAGAGACGTACGAACAGGAGGATATAAGCGGAGGGATTCGTTGCTACGGAGACATATGTGAGCTTATCCCGGGGAAGGCCAAAATGGTGACGAACATTACAGCATTTAAGTATTCCATTTGAGCAAGCTTTGCTGAATCAGTCGGCTCTCCTCTTCCTGGAGGGAAGGCGGCGTCAACTTCAATTTGCAAGCGTCGATAACAGCTGGGATGGGACAACATAAGGTAAAATGTGTTGCTGAGTGCCGCGGCAGTAGTATCAGAACCAGCGATGATTGCAGTGACGGCATTGGACATGAGCACGGGAAGTGGAGGCGATCCACTACTAGTATCTCCTCGTCCTTCATCGTTCTAAACCCAAAATGAGGCTCTGCGGACTCTGGCTCAGAAGTAGTGGGACATACGAGATGATAGAATAGGTCATCGTGTACTGATCCTTCCTTCATTCGCCTCGTGATCTGCTGGAAGGCAAACTCTCCGAGCCCTTTCATATGTTTTCCTAGGAATGGGAGGGTGAGAAGAGCCTCAATGCACCAAGGGACATGTTGCGTCAACGCCGGGAGGCTATGGAACGGCTATTAAGACACAATCGGAGAGGACAAATTTCGATGCACAACTTACTAAAGACCATTTTCCATCATACCTACAAGGTCATTCTTATCGCCATCGCGTAGAAGATCGAATGGTCCCCCAAAACTGAAGTTCAAGGTTCAATGACGAAAACAATCACAACGTCTGAACAGACTTACACGAAATCACCCATGAAGTCAAAGCTTGTATCGTGCAAATCAGCAGACAACATCATAAAAGTCGGAAAAGCGCGCTCACGAGAAGTAGCTTAGCCACTGCGAGAGATCTACTTCCTCATTTCCAGCTCTTTTCTTTAAAGCATCCACTAACTGTGAAGCTCTTCGAATGACGATGGGCTCGTAACGCTTTACCGAGGCACTCGTGAACGCACGGTTCCATACCCGCCTCGCCTCAGTGTGTTGTTGCTTATTGCGGGCACCGATGAGGTTTCCTTTAACATTCTTTGCACCCGCACCTCTCTTCCCTGAAATTCGCCTTCCTTCCCATACTGCACAAACAAATTGACATGGATGTAGATTTGAAAATGAACGAGTTTGCTCACAAGGTCCTTTGGGCATCCCGTCCGAACCCAAGATAGATGGAAGTAGAGCAGTGTCAACAACTGACAACTCGTTTGGGCCTATTGTTGGCAATCATGATAAATGACTATCCTCAAAAGGCTAATGTGGAACATACCAATACGAACGATAGGTCCATATTTTTTATGTACCTTATAATAGTACATGTGCAACTTCCCGTCAGACGCAACGTAGACCAGCCAAAGCTTAGAGATCTTGCATAGGACGGGACCCGGATAACTCCAAAGAGGATGTAGCGGTGAGATGCGATACACGAGGATGGACAGCAAAAGAGAAACATAAAAAGTAGAATACGCGACAAGGCCGGCCAGCAAAGTGGACTCCAGATGGGTTCGAAGAAACGCTACCGGGATAGCAGGTGGAAGCCCAAGGAGTATCGAGACATGGAGGATATCACTCGTCTCGAATCGCTTGAACCACAGATACGTACACTGTGGGTCTTAATGAGACAGTTTACTGTCTGAAGAATCGGCCATCTCACCACACCAAATCCGCAAGCAAGGAGAACGCCGCTTTCAAGAGAAAGCGCAGGGTACAGAGACATCGTCGTGCAGGCAGCTGGAGACTGGTAGTGCCAGAGAGAGAAAGCAGCTCAAATACCTGAGTTTGATGAGTGCAAGCACATGCAGGCAGTGCGAAATAAGGAATAGATCAGTACAACAGCAGACAACAGCAGCTAACGGAGGGCTGAAAACACCATGGGTGCGAACAGGACTGGAATCGCGAAGAGATGCGTGCTTGATGCGTGCGGCTGAGAACTCGGGCCGCTCGTAGGGTTGACGCTTGTTGACAATTGAAACGTCGACCACCAGCGACCATATGCCCGCCGTCCGCGGCTTCTTCTGTGAGATCTCTCGGAAGAATGGAGAAAGAACCGTGTGATGGAATTTGATCGCTTCAAGTTTACACATCCAACAATACAATGACAGGTGAATTCTATGCGCACTGGCAGCAGCCTCGGACTTGTTCTGTGATCTTGATATGATTCGGATGACTGGGCTCCGTCCGATTCTGATACGCACAGTACGTAACTAACAACAATTTTTCATTTGTGTTTTCGACTACTCGCGCACGGAAGTAAGTAGGAGTAGCTACCCAAAAACGGAATGCAATCGGGTGATTAAATCTCATTTTTTCTAGAACTACGACGGGCCGAGTAGGCTAATGTGACCGTTACATGGGGCGCTTAGAGGGCGCCTCTGGAAGGGGGTGTCTCTACTAGGCTACCCCAGACGTGTCTTCGACACGTTTGGGTACGAGATCGCACAGACTACACACGTGTCGTTGTCGTATCTTCGCTCACTGCGAAGGCCATTCCGGAAGTTAGTTCATTTGTGCTATAATCTTTCTTGATATTGTCTACTTCGTTTTCTTTGAACATGATCGTACTGAGAGGAAATGTACCGCTAGCTCGGTAGCCAGATCTCGCGTTCTGAGCTATTCCGATGCGGATGAAGATCATGTCGAAAGTGATGGCTATCATCGCTGGCATCTATGATAGATTGATGACCATGACGAGGAAATTCATATGTCTCAAGTAAAGATACTCACAATACTGTTGACTACATACTCTACTTCTAGAGCGTGTGTCACCGTAATGAGTGCAAAAATCAGAAGTGCCGTGTAGATGGCTCCCGACTCGATAATTGTCAGGAGTACTGGTCTGAGAGTGTTCGACGAATCGCGGAGATGTCTGGCTTCCTTATCGACTTTCCAAATTCGATAAGCAAGTGCCACTGTAGACAGAATGGAGAGCATAAGGGTGATGAGAATGCCGCGAACCGATACACAGAGAGATTGCACCCACGAGTCGCTGTTAAATTGGCTGCCAAGGTAAAAGAGTATACCAGGACAATCCGCTGCCCCGTGACGATTCCTTTGGCAAATGAATACATAACAAAGATAATACTCCCTGCATGGAATGACATAAGTGCTGATTTTGAGAAGCGCGGTGTAAATACCTAAGGAGCCCATCCATGCCAACGACGGAATCACAATCATCCATACCGATTGCCAGACAATATAGCAACGATAAATCTGGGAGCCTACTTCAGAGTGTTACTTGATTGACAAATAAATGATACAGACCACAACGGCGTCACCAATGAGTGTTTGCAAACAGTAAATGCCATTATCAACAAGAGAAATGGGCCTCGAGAACGCAGAGATGAACGCCTCAGGTCCAGAGTCACCTGGTCCATCATGCAAGTGATTGACAAAGGCATCAACGAGATCGGTCATATCTATGACTATTCGCTAATGTCATTCGAGTTCAGTAAAGCCCATTATCAACCCCGAACAGCAAACTGACCAGTGTATCAATAATCCACATGAAAGAAGATATAGCTAACATTGCTCTATTTGCCCTTCCTTTGCGCTGAATGGTAAGCACCCACACAGTCATCCCGAACATGCATGTGGAGAATCCTTTGAGAGCATGTGCCGAAATCAGTAATGTTAGACAGCAATAATGAAAGAGCTGCGAAATGCTGACCATATACTATGCCTTGTAAGCTGACAGAGACTAGCGGGGCCCTCGCAGTTGGTCCAGTAATCAAGCCAGACATGGTTGAGGGGTAGATAGGAATGCCACTTGGCGGGAGAGCTTTTCAAGAAACTTGAATTCTTGCGCAGCCATTCAGCTGGTGAGATGAAGCAACGCACGCTTGATCGGACAACCACTCTTCCGGGAGATGTCCGAGAACATGATTGTTTCGGAAGCATTATGAGCCAGTATGGCATGAACATGCTGCTCTGGAACACGGCACTGATTGGTCTTATGCCGTTACTCGTATCTGATACGACCGCATGATTGATACCACTCTGCCAACGAAAAATAGAGGCACGAAGCTCACTCGATACGCTAAGCTTAAGGAGGCACCCATAACTTAGAAAAATTGAAGAAGATAATATTGGACCAAGGCGAACTGTTTTGAGCATCCATTTGTGAGTTCTTCTAGGCAGTGGTTTTCTATTCATATAATTGTGAATACATATGGATGTAGTTAAGTCAACTTCGATCATACCAGTGGGCATACTTAAGAATGGCAGCTTCTCTAAAGCTACTGCCATTATCGTTGCCTCGCCAGCTAAGCAACGGTGGGCAGCGTTAGACTCATCGTCAAAATTAAGGGCTCGGGACTGGGACTCCACTCTGAGAGTGGCGGCAGCGTAATCAGAAAAAAAACTGATCGGGCGGACTTGAGCCGACTGGCCACACAGTAATACTGTTTGGGACGAACATGGGACACGTAAAGGTGACAAGAGTAACTTTATCACCACAGATCATAGTACATAGATAGTTTGGTGCACAGTTGCAACTCTTTCAAGCGTCCGATTGGCTACGACATGCGGTGCTACAAAGAGTTGCAAACACGCATCTTGACTCGTCGTGTCGAGTCGCCGCTGACTATTCTCACACCACTGCACTTCTGCTAGTTCAAGTTGAATTTTGTTAGTAGTAGTATGCCGGTCATGTGCATGGGGCCTGAGGTACTAGACTGGCAGTATTCGCGCGATTCACCCTTCTAATGCTCTCGTAAGTTCTCAACTGACAGAACTCCCATTCGCTGAATGATGCATGTGTGTATTTATAGATCATTCAAGGTGTGCGACCTGAAGTTATCGGATGTCAAGCGCTTATCTGCGTTGGAAGTTTTGCCAGGTGCATTATTTCCCGTCTATCTTGCGACTTTAATTGCAAGCTAGAACCTGATAACGCTCAAGATCGCATCGAAATATATCACTCTTGGACAGAATATTCTCAGGTGTGCTAGATTTGCGTATGACGATGCATCTGGAGCACTCTTGGTTGCTTATGCGATAAGCCCTAGTCTCCGCACGGGCGGTGGTGATCCAATGAGCTCGTCGGAAGAATGTGCGACACAGATATCTGAAATCCTCAATAGGTTTTAAGTCCCCAAATATGGGCAGCTTTCTCAGTCAAAAGAGTCCGACGAGTGCCTCAAGAGATGAATGACTCCAGCTACATAAGAACAACAGCCGCGACTTCCCTGGTAGCATAAACAGACATGAATTCAAGCGGAAATATTCCCATTGCAATTGTATGTCCCCATGCCCCTTCTCTTCCTTGATCGATCCAATGCCCTACAATAGGTTGGTATCGCTGCTGAGCTACCGAGTGGCAGCTGGAGCAAGCAAAACCTCGATTTCAAATCATTTTCCAAATTCTTGCTGGAAAGCGGAGAAGCTTACGAGAAGATCCCCCTGGAACGATTTAATATCGAATTGTAGGTAGAAGAAGCAACTCGAGATGCTACTCATTGCATTAACAAGCCGTCGGTTTTGGGCAGTATTCGTGGCGATGGTATCGGTCAAGTTCACACCAATACTGGAGCGTTTTTGAAGGACGTGAATCTCTTTGACTATCTTGAATTTGGAGCTACGGCAAAGGATGCCCATCTTATGCCTGTGGCGACTCGCAAGTTAATCGAATCGTCATTCCTTAGTCTACTCGATTCCGGGATCGATTACAGGGGCCGGAATATCGGCTGTTACATGTCGGGTACCGCGCACGACATTTTTTCGATATCAGGCCATGTGAGTGATAGTCTTCATGATTCCAATGCTTAGTGTGTTAAATCATACATTTCTGTATTCAGCTCGACGCAGAGGCACAAGGATCCTTTGCATATGCGCCTGCGATGATCGCAAATCGTGTTTCATATCACCTTGATCTCCGAGGCCCATCCGTTCCTCTGGATACAGCATGTAGCTCTACTGTCTATGCCACGCATCTCGCCATCCAGGCTATTCGTGATGGTGAATGCGAGGCGGCCGTAGTTGGTGGTTGTCAGATCAATAATAGGTAAGCAAGCTGTCGGCGCTCGATATGCTCATTCGAAGTTAGGGCACGCTTACAATCAATGCGCTCAGATTTTCTGAATGGCTATTGTACTCGCGGGGAGGGATACTCTCTTTTGACGGGAAATGCAAACCATTTGACGCGTCGGCAGACGGGTAAGGAGTTAAAGCTTTCTCATGAGTTTAAGATAAAACTGATATAGTATTCAGATTTGGCAGAGGGGAAGGGGTAGTATCCATGGTGTTGAAGCCACTCAGCGCGGCGCTTCGGGATAATGATCCGATCTACGGTGTGGTAAGTTAATGCCAATGCGACGGCATAAGGGGCTCATTTGCTCTGATATGTAGATTCTGGGCACGGGCGTTAATTCATCTGGATCACTTGCACCAGTGAACGCGCCGGTCGCATCTGCGCAAGAGGACGCCATGTTGCGCGCATTTTCACAGGCAAACCGCCGACCCCAAGATGTGGATTTTATCGAGTTGCATGCTACCGGTGTGTTTCAGGCGCTTTTATATATATTCGCTTTTATATATATTTCTACATTTCGAACTTACTGAGTTGCTACAGGCACTGCACAAGGCGATCCAACGGAGGCGAACTGGGTGGGGGCGAAATTCAAAAGAGATGGTGAGATCTTAGCGGGAAGTGTTAAGGGGAATATTGGGTATTAATATTCTCATACGCGCGGTTAGATCTACTCACACTGAATACTATGTTCTAGTCATACTGAAATCACGGCATTCCTTGCATCAATGTGCAAAGTCTGTTCTATCTTTGCTACGGGCATGATTCCTCCTACGGTCAACTTAAGGTCTCCTAATCCCGCGATCAAGTGGAAGGAATATTCACTTCGAGTACCCGTGACGCCGGAGCCTCTGTCCCATCACCCAGCTTCCACTGCCCCACTCGTTGCAATGACCAGCTCTGGAATTGGAGGTGCAAACGGACATTGCGTTGTTGAAGGGCCCCCTCTTCGCATTTATATACCTTCGACATTTTGGAGATGCAATGACGCAGCATTCACTTTCACTCCCCCTTATTTACTGATTTCCGGAGGACTTTCCCCTCGGTCTGCCACAGCGGTTGCGGATATGCTTACATCACAGGCACCCACATTGCCAAATGTGCTCCATTCATTCTCCCGAATGCTCAGTCGGCGATCACGATCGATGACTTGGAGGGCCTACGCCATAGCACATAATGGCGTCCTTTCTCAGTTCAGTAAACCTAGTCTCATTCCCAAGACTCCAACGCCGCTCATTTTCGTGTTTTCGGGACAAGGCCCTCAGCACTGGAACAGTAAGTACCTTAACTAGCTCTCGAAACGTGTTTTAAATGGTTGAGTGATGTTTTAGTGGGTCGTGAACTATTCAAGACATGTATTCCTTTCCGACGCACAGTAATCGAGCTAGACGATGTGCACAGAAGCGTAACTGGAAAGTCTATGATTCAAGACTTCAGCCTCTTCAGTGAAGCATCTGTCGACGATCCCTTCGGCTCAGTTTGGCCTATTGCTGTCAGCCTCCCTGCGCTTACGATCCTTCAGATTGCGTTGTTTGATGCGTTGTCCGAACTGGGGATTCATCCTGATGCCGTCATCGGACATTCTGCGGGAGAGACGGCTGTCCTTTATACTTCTGGCGCGGGGAGCAAAGCTCTTGCAGTCGAGCTAGCAATCGCGAGAGGGAAAGCCATGTCACTTCTAGAAGATTCAAACGGGACCATGGCCGCCCTTGCCTGTTCTCCTTATTACGCTCACGAGATAATCTCCGGGGCCATACGCAACCAGCATTGCACAAAGGTGGAAATCGGGTGTTATAATGCTCCCGAGGCGGTAACATTGTCTGGCTCTGCATTACAGATCGACTTAGCAGTAGAGTATGCGAAGGCAAAGGGAATTTTTGCCACCCGACTTCGCACCAAAATCCCCGTCCATTCATCCATGATGGAACTTTGTCGAAATGAATATCAAACCTTGGTCGGTGAGGTATTCACTCGATCTACCGTGAAACAGCCCTCCGTCAATGTCTTCTCTACCCTTTCTGGTGAGAAGTTCAATGCATGCTTCGATGCCCAATATTTCTGGGAAAACACACGGAAGCCTGTCAAATTCACGTCCGCTATTCAAAGTGCGCTCTCCGAGCATCCGGACGCGACTTTCATCGAGATTGGGCCTCATCCTGTCCTTTCCAGCTATATCTCGTCTATCTCTGCGACTGGTACCGCGAAGGTGGTGTGTCCGCTCAGGCGATCGAAATCAGCTCAGGCTCTTGGGGAGATCACGGAGTTCTTGACTTTCCTTGGTAGACTGGTCAGTACGAGTCATATCCGCGTCAACTTCGATGCGCTCTATGGCACTACTCCTTCTCTTGAGCATTCCGCGCTGTCGTTTCCCTTCTCAAAGCGAGAAGTGTCGTATAAGGCGCCCACCTTTGAAACACAGAGACAGGGCCAAGTGCGGAATGGCCCCTTGAATTATCCTCAGCTACAAGTAAACGCCAAGACGCATCCGGGCCTCGCGGATCATGTCATCAAAAATCAGCCGATTATGCCCGCGGCAGGATACATCGAGATGGTACGTGTAGCCATGATCGTCAGCACTCGACTCTGACATTGATTCTCTTGGTAGGCCCTTGAATTCGGGGCCAGAAAGCTGTTTGATATCAATTTCCATTCCATACTTTCTCTGTCTTCTGAGCGCCCCACTCCGGTGAATGTCAAGCTAGACGGCCCGTTCTGGAATGTATCCAGTGCATCTGCTACGGAATTTACCACTGTATGGCCCCCAACTGTACGGTTTATGTAAAGATTGGCACGTATGGTGACTAACGATGTGCACAGTATAACCGTCTTCATGCTAGCGGTCACCTCTCAATGACCACTAATCCAGAGGACGGGGTTCATCGTCTTCAACTTGATTTGATTCGAGCTCGGTTAAGACAGATTGACATGAAGGGTACGTCTGATATTGTGAAGCAGACCAACAATGCTCAGATCCTTTAAAAATACCAGGATTCTACGAAGAGTTCGCTAATTTTGCTCAGTATGGACCAACATACCGAAGGATCATCTCTTGGAGTCGGGGTCGCGATCCGCTTGGCCGCGAAGAAATCCTTGTGAAATTGAGGGGAGCAAGTGAAGATCTAGAAAAGTAAGAAATTGGAAGACGTATTTAGGGTGAGACGTATCTTTTGACGCCTCTTTAGTATTTCAGACTACCGCTTCCATCCCGCTATACTGGATGCCGCAATCCACATACTGGTTCATCCAGCAGTCACTGGTGTTAGGAATGAATCCAATTATTACCTTCCAGCAAAGATCGGTGTCTTTACAATGCATCGTGCCTTGGATGCGATACCATTTCCACGCATAGTCTATACACACGCTACATTCGTGCGATGGTCTCTCGGTATGAAGCTTTACTACCTTAATTGACCTTCATTAATTCCCATGTGGCGCAGAATCGCTCGTCTACAATGTTTCCGTTACAGACGAGACCGGAGAATGTATCTGCACGATCGAGGAACTTGAGGTTGGACTTCATGGGCATTCGATCACTCGTCCTAAACGTGGTTTCCAAGTGGTTTATCGACGAGCGGATTATGGGCACACTCGTTCTAGGACAGAACGCGTACCATCAGGTCTATCTGAGGCCGGGATTTCAAGGCCTTTTTCATCGGACAACATTATTTCACTGGAAAGCCCTACCGCCATTGGTAATAATGCCCATCCTGCGCACGCATCTCTAAATGTGGTTTATTTAAGCTCAACTGTCATCGTCGTGGGTTTCAAGAGAGGAGAGGAAATCAGTTTACAACCACTGGTGTCCAGCATGGATCCTTTGGCGACAATTTCGCTTTGGTTCACCGCGACCGAAGGAATTGACGGCGAGGCTTCTCTAGGATTCACTCGATCACTTCGAAGAGAGTATCCTTCATGGTCAGTGCGGCATATTATCTTCAGTACGAAGTGGACTTTTGAGGAGCGCGTGGAAGAAGTTCGATATCTCGCATCTGTTCCTCAATGTGAAGACGAGACGTTGGTTCTCGCAGACGGGTCGATCGTCGTTCCGAGGATCGAGCAATTACCAATCCTGAGGACCAATGATGAATTTGACCCTGACAAACCTTGGCGTTACGAGATGTCAACACTCAAACACATTCGTGATCCCGACGTCCCAGACGATCACGTATTGATTCGCATCATCGGCATCACTTGTCGAACAGGATCAGCATGGGCTTTTGTGGGTCGAGCTGACGACAGTCAAAAACTGGTCACAGGAATTACGTTCGATCATCCAACAAACGTCGTCATTTCCCACATCGGAAGCATAGCCGAACATACTTGGTCTTGCACGGAAGGAGCAGCAAGTGCTCCCCATGTTCTGGCATATGTGATCGCTGTCCTTGCTATCGGCCAGGCTGCATTCTTGCAACCTCATCGTCTGAGACGATCTCAGATCGTAGTAACTCATTCGGACACTGATCTTGGCCAGCGCATTGCCGAGATCTACGAAGATATTCACTTGCGCGTAGTCGCATTTCCTTCATATGCATGTACGTCAGAGATCCAACAGGCCATCTCACGGCGCCCCAGTGTCGTCGTATCTGCCACACTTGATGAGCCAGTTCAGTTGAAGTTGCATACCCTATCCGACTCTACGAAGATATTCCTCTGGAACGATCCTTCAAGCGGGATCAGAAAGCTGTTGGCCGATGACCCATGGCTCATCGGAGACGCACTGCGGTGTGCAATTTCAGCATGCCCTCGCATGACAGAGGCTATCACACCCTCGACAGATCTACTTCCGGCTTCTTGTCCCGCAGTTGTAGAGTCGGACCATAGTCTCTTTAACCGAAGGAAAGCATATATACTGGTAGGTGGTATCGGCAGTCTCGGGTTGCATATTGCGCTCTGGATGTACAAGGTAAGCGAAATGTTGACATGGAAATTCTACTGAGATGTTGACTTCTTTATGCCACATTTGCTATAGAATGGAGCTAGAGAAATTGTGTTGACTTCTAGATCAGGACTACAATCACTAGCCAAGAAAGATGAATTCATCTCTCAGCGTCTTCTTGCGTACCTCAGTAGCTTGCCAGACCTTACATTCAGAACAGAAGCGGTGGATGCGCTGTGCGCGAGCGCCATGCACAGTCTAGTAAAATCACTCGGGGACCGCTTGGGAGGTTGCATGATTCTCACAACCCTCTACAACGATTGCACATTCCTAATGCAAACAGCAGAAACTTTCGAATCATCGATTACATCGAAAGTGGGGGTTATGGAAGTTGTAGAGCGTGTTATTGATATCAGTGCCTTGGACTTCCTGATTGCGATGTCGTCAACTGTCGGATTGTTCGGTAATGCGGGTCAAACTAATTATGCATGGTCAGTGATTTCCGCATCGATGCGTGATGCGTTGCGCTCATGTTCCCATTCGTGTTCAGTGCCAACACAGCTTTGTCTGCAGTAATTCGAAAATATCGCAATGCTATAGCATTTATCTCTCCGTTCATTACCGACACCGGGTTCCATGTCAATATCTCGACCTCAGATCCACTTCAATGGGCGCGATTCAAGCATCTGTATCCCTGGGGAATGACAGCCGCGGGTGAGTTGTGGTCATCAACAGACACCTGTACCTCAATACTTAAACGCGCATTTCCAGAACTCTGTGACTACATTGGAGACAGCATTCGCAACTTGAGCAAAGGGTCTGTTTGGCAGTATGTGCCAGACTTCAACTGGAACCTTGTTCGGCAATGTCTGGGCTCTTCCCCACTCTACGACCACCTGATTACCGAGAATGCTCCAAATCCACTGGAGGGAGAGCAAGAGGATCAGCCGTCGACGCTACGTGGTATTGTATGTAAGATTCTTGATATCGCGCCTAACGACCTATCTGCCGACGTCCCATTCACCACATACGGCCTTGATTCGCTCTCAGCCGCCTCCCTCTCACATTCTCTCCGGCCGATCATGACCATCACCCAAATTCAGCTGCTCGCCGACATGACTTTAGCGAGTCTCGAGTTTCAGTTCGCCCAGAAGCGTGATATCGCTTTGACTAGCCTTAGTGACAGTCACGATACCTTGACGAAAGAGAAGGTCGAAGAAATGCTTGATATGGTCGAAAGGTTCGCTACAAACCTGCCATCCGGTATACGACAATCACAAGGGCAGTCCTCAACCCCGGCAGTGCTCATCACCGGCACAACAGGTAGTCTGGGGGCACATATGCTCTCTCATCTTCTACAACATTCGCTGTATCAAATATACGCCCTGATACGCGTGGATTATACTCAGGGATCCGCAATCCAAAGACAAAGAAATGCATTCTCGACGCGTGGCTTGAACGAAGATCTGCTGCAAATGAGCAACCTTGTCCTAGTGGGATGTGACTTCCTTGCAACAGATCTGGGACTGTCTGAGAAACTTCTGTCGGAGGTAATATATCGGTCTTCCTTCGTCTCATGTTCTGACATGGAATGTTTTAGATGACCCAATCTGTTACACACATCGTGCATCTTGGTATGTCCCAATTTGAAGATACTTATTCAGTGAAAGTTCTGAGTTACGACTCGGACATGGTTAGCGTGGCCGATAAATTTCGACGCTCAGCTTTCCACTTTCGAGCCAGCAATCCAAGGTCTACGAATCCTCATTGATTTTGCGTCTGGATGCAAGAGCCAAGTCAAGTTCACCTTTGCCAGTACGGCAGGAATTTTCAGACGTACGATTTCGGCTAACTTCCCGCGCACTATGCCGTTGACTATTATTCAAGGTCTTCCCACCTCCGTTTCTGCAGCAGAAGTTGAGATAGAAGACCCTGCTGTCGCAGTTGGTGCCGGATACTGCGAATCTAAATGGGTGGGCGAGCGCCTGCTCTGTATCGCATCCGAGAGGGATTTGGTCCAAACGACCATAGTGCGTGTCGGCCAATTGACCGGTGGTGCGAATGGTGCATGGCGAACTTCCGAATGGATCCCTTCACTTGTTTCCACGAGTGTTGCACTAGGATGCCTGCCAGATGGTTCTGGAGTAAGTCGCACCAGCACCCTATATACTGCGACTGCTGAAGGTTTGTGAGTAGAGCGTCTCATGGCTACCGGTTGACACGGCCGCCCGAGTAATGATTGAGTTCATGCATTCCCTAGAGCGATTTTTTCATCTCCGGCACCCCCGTCCTGTTGCATGGACAGACATTATGGAGCATATGAGGACCTTCTTGCGAGTTCCTCTTGTCGCTTATTCGGACTGGTTCACGCGCCTTGATCGTGGCTTACCTTCAGCCCACAATCAAGATGCCATCCATTATCTCAAGCCCGGACTTCGGTTGCTCGAGTTCTTCCGTCTTCCATTTGATGTTGGGAAGCCGAAGCCTGATATTATGAGTGCAATCACACATGATAACTTGATGGAGAATGCACTCAAAGTCTCCGGCATTCTGCGCGATCCAAACCTACCGCAGCTCTCCGGAGAAGACGTAGAAAAATGGCTGAATTATTGGACGACAGTCGGATTCCTTCCTAGGGAACCAACTCATACCTAATCATCGCAATCGAAAGGTACAGTTCACGCTCGCATGCATTTATACAGTCAGTAATGTTGATGCACATCCGCACTAGCAGTCATACTGCTTAAGAATCATGGAAACCTCGATACCGGTGTTCACCATTCGCGGTAGTGCGGATATTTAATGGCATTGTTGCATAAATGCATGGCGTGATTAGAGAGGCATATTTTGTTGCATTGTTTATGTGCCATTGAACAGCTGAATCGGCGGTATGTAGTTTCAATATGGACTCAGGAACATGGTTTGGGATAGCTGTGTCATTCCAGCAGGGGTGTGTGTGGAGACAACCTCACACCGAGCGAATTACCCATAGTGCTATGTTGGCACTACATGCAAGCTTGTCTCGGGACTCACACTGACGCTATCATTGTCTCCGAACCTATCGACGAGCAGCTTAGAATTGTCACCTAGTTTGAGCATCCTTTCATCAGCAGAACACTGAAAAGATTCCATAGGATTACTCATTTTTGTATTTGGTGTATTTGTCATTACAAATCATGTTAGAATAGATACACCTTCACGCAAATATTACTGATCTGATTTGTTCAAGCAGAACAATTGTTTGTATATACGATTTTGACAATGTGTATAGGCAAATATATGTGCAAGGATTAAATATTCAGTATTCAGAACCACAACAAGAAATCAAGTTGAGTTACAAGAGCAATTGTGGGCGACATATGCATACACACTTCTCACATCCTATGCATTGCTTCAGTCAGTCACCTATATACAATATTGATAACAACTAGAACTATGTATATGGTAATGATACAAGGTAGGTTCAACCTTGCATTTTAGATTTTGGCAACCATGTTGAAGGCAATCAGAGCAAGCATGCCCAGAACTGCATTGTCCAAGAGTCACTGCTGTTACAGTCTTACTGGGGGGTTTTTATTTTATCTTGCTCATTGTCTCCCAGACCCTGTACTATCTATTTCTGGTTTGATGTGTATGATCTCCATCTATCAGTTTCACCTATGTCTAACTGCTGCTGTCCATCACTGATTCTGCCAAAGTTTCAGGGAGAGTTTCTTTTCTTTCTTGCCTTGTCCTCATTGACCCTGTATGATCTAACTATAGCAAATATCCATTTCATTGATGTGCACCATCTCTGTTTATCTGTTGTTGTTCACATCACTAATTCATCTCAGATGTCACCCTCTCCATCTCCATCTATCAGTTCCTTGATTCAACTCATCAACTGATACAGTAGGGGACAAAAGTATTGCAATGTTTGCAACAGTTGTGTTGCTTGGCCTATATCTAATGAACCAGCCATTTACACATAGTATACATGGATACCATTGGAAGGCCTAGGATCTGGGCTATATGATAGACCCCACAAACACATGATTTAATTAGGTATTGTCCAAGTTATTGATGAATTATTACCCTAAACCCATTGCAACAGTTTTGTCCCCTGCATATTTGACTATGGGGATCTATTCTGTTCTGCCTGTAAAAAAATATGTAGTGTGGGGAATGTGCAATGTAATGATATATAAGTATAAGGAGGATACTGTTACAGAATTTCATAGCATCTATCTTATCTCAAGCATCTAGATGATCTACATCTTATCCGATTAGATATCTACCTAGATAAGAATACACTATGCATGGTGACATGTTACTAGTCAGGTGTTCAGCTCATCAAAAGCATGGTAAATTGGCTATCATATGTTCACACAGAAATTTCCCCATTTGTACTAGGAACACACACAGCCATTCAGGTGATCATCATTGTAGAACTACTGACTATACATGAGGCAGAGTGTTCACACGCTGATAGGCCCATGTAGCACATGGGTGTGCTTCAAGCCAAAATTGACATTTGAAGCATTCAAAATGTCTACCTTTGGGAAAGCCTGCAATACCTCAACACAAAAACATTTTCGACCATTCTTCAATATCTTCAAAGCATCAAGACCTCACTCCAATCCAATTGGGATCTTTCAGTGGCGGCCTTATTCTGGGAGCCCAGCTTTGAGGGAGAATCCCCATTATTATCACAACATGATAGCTACTCACCTTTCAAGTGTTTGTAGGAGGTTGAAAGGTTTGATAGAGTTGGGCTTAGGTGGTGACACGC